TGGCCGTGCCCCCATGCCTGGCATTCCTGGCAGGACAAGGTGCTGCGGATGCTCTACGTGTGGGCCCTGTGCCGGGACCAGGACGAGCTGAACCCCTACATGGCCTGGAGGCTGCTGGACATTTCCTCCTCCAGCACGGAGCAGGTGCTCTGAGCAGGGCTGGGCTGGGCCCTTCCCACCCCTCTGGAAGCAGCTCCAGCCCAGAACTCCCCACGGGGAGCAGCCCAGGCTGGGGATTTTGGGAGAAGTGCTCCTGGTTATCCCAATCCCTGAGGAATGGGAATCCCTGCTCGGGAATGGCTGGGACGAGCAGGTGCTGCTTTATCCTCGTGCCTCAGGAGGCTCCTGGGAAGCCCACAGAGCTCTCATTCCCACCTGCTGGCACCCCTGGAGATCCTTGGAAAGGCCTTGGAGGGGTTCCTGGCTGCCAATCTCCTGCCCAGGCTCCAGCCCCGTGTCCCTGCCGTGTCTTGCACTTTCCCAAACCAAATACAACCAGGACTTTGCACATGGAGGTGTTGGATCCTCAGGTTGGTGCTGGGATGGGGCTGATATTTAAATATCCAGCGGTGAGATTTGTTTATCCACAGCTTGGCAGGGGGAACGTTGTTGGTTCTGGTCACGGAGAGCCACAGCTGCATCCCTTGGGATGGTGGGGAAGGTGTGGGACAGGACAGGGAGTGTCTGAGGAGTGGAACTGCTTTGGGAACGCTGAATTTTTCTGTCCCATCCTGTCTCATTCCCAAGAGGAAAGCTGTGCTCCTCATCCCTGCACAGATCCCAGGTCCAGGAGCAGAAACTTCCCCAGTTTGCTGCTGGAGCGTGGGGTAAAATCCCCTTTCAGGCCCAATCTGAACAATGGGGTTTGAAAATCCCAAATCATGAAAAATTTTCCCCAAATTCAGGTTCCTGTGGGGTTTGGGACTCTCTCCTCGAGCTTCATGCTCCTGGGAGGAAGAGCAGGGGGGCTGTCTGAGGGGGAGCAGGAACTGTGGGATTTGGGCTGCTGGAGGGGTTTGGGGGCCGAGGCTGCCCATGGAAAGGAAGGTTGGGAAAAGATTTGGAGAGGAAATCCAAGGATTGCTGTGGTGCTGAGGGTGAGGTAGGACAGCTCTGCCCTGCCAGTGTGATTAAAGAGAATAATTCCAGTTGTTCCTCTTCTCTTGCGAGTGTCCTGAGCTTTGAACATCCCTGGGCTGGGATGTTTTCCTTGGAGCATCCCCGGGGCAGGCTGGGGGTGGCAGTGAGGGTCACAGCACCCCAGGGAATGCTCCAGGCTGGGGTGAGGGGCTGGAATGCTGGGATGGAGCCCCAGGAGGGGCTGAGGGAGATGGGAAGGGGCTCAGCCTGGAGAAAAGGGGGATCAGGGGGGGCTTGTGGCTCTGCACAGCTCCTGACAGGAGGGGATGGCCAGGGTGGGTCAAGCTCTGCTCCCAGGGGACAACAGGACAAGAGGCTGTGCCGGGGGGGGTTTAGGTTGGATATTGGGGAAAATTCCTTCATGGAAAGGGTTGTAAAGCCCTGGCACAGCTGTCCTGGAGTCCCCACCCCTGGAGGGATTTAAAATCCACGGGTTTGTGGCACTTGGGGACAGGG